CGGCTGAAACTATTAAATCATTCGCAATTTACCTAATACATGTTGGATTATTTTCATTAGTAACAACATTCCGAAAAATAACTGAGGAGCTCCGCTTTTAGGCTGGCCTAAATCTATATATTATAATTTCCAGAGGTGAAACACAGAATAACGACTAAAACAGACTGTTCGTTTGCATACACGCATGCAGCCGTAGCTTAAATGCTAAGGTTACATGTAAGCTTACATCGATTGTGAATCAATTTACATATCAAGTTCGGCAGTAAAACAAACAAGCAAAACACTACGAAAAATAAATTCATCCCGTACCTTTGTTTTATCGTTGTTGACCTCATTCATAGCTGTCATCATAGTCTAAAAATGAGTAGCTTTAGTTTGAAGAAAAATAAATTTCGGACAATCGATTTTCGGTCAACGTAACTGCGTTTGCGATTCTTCAATTCCTGGAATAAGAGTTCTTGAAAAGACTTTTGGTCCAAGGGCGACAGCAGTCATTTTAAGAATTCTCCATCCTTCCAAATATCCCAGACTTGGAGTGATGTCTTTCGATTTACTAAAAGCTTGATTCAGCAACTGTCCGCCATGTTTACTTGCCGAGATGGCGAAGGTGGTGAGCTTAGTAACCAGGCCTAGAAGATGTTATATTCACCGTCTGGAGCGGTGAATATAGCGTCATATAAGGAATCGGTCGACCAATCAGATTGCTGGAAACTCTTTGCTCAGCTCTGAAATTATACTAAAACTCGATAGAAACACGGTATATGTTTTCTATTTCTTAATTGAGCCATCATGAATGAAATCTGTACGGTACGCGCGGCCGTGCGTAAATAAGATGACGTGTGCAGTTTATTCAATTTAACGGTAAAATTTCCGTCGAGTTTAGTGCAAGTTCCCTATGTTTAAGTTTCGGAAATGTGAAGATTATTCTGAACAATCCAAACCCTAATTCGAGCCTTTGATTTTTGCTAAGCTAAGATGTTTACATTAACGTAAGTATTTTGACTTTGTTTGTGTACATTTTCATGGAATATTTTTGACTTTGTCTGCCTACATTTTCATTATAATTAATTCGAAGAAGCGAATTTTTCATTGACAATCTTAGAAACCAGGTCAAGCGTTTTCGCTGAACCGTTTCGTAACTGATAGTGGCGTGTTAGGATCCTAATGACCTTTGGTTTTCTTCACCGTGCAAAGTGAGAACTTAGTAGGCGATCACAAATAAAACATGTTTTTGCGCCCAAGTCGTTGTCGCCATGTTATAAAAGAATTCGTTCATGCTTTGAGCTCTGCGTATATCGAGTTATGGATGTACATGGGAAGTTTGGAGAGCACTCAAGAAGCTAGAGTTGCTCACGGATGTAGCCTCGAGTAACTCTTACGCTTCTTTCGTACTCTCCAAACTTCCTGCGTGCATCCATAACTCGATTGACGCACGCGAAGCGTAAACCAACGCTTAAATATCGTAAACAAATTTTGAACTGAGTTGATATGAAATACTTGAAAGTACTGCTGCAATAAAACTGACGATGAATTCTCTGAACTTTGAAATGTATTTTCTCGAGTTCCGATTGAAAATTGTTTTGGCGTTATTTCAGGCGACTATTTCCGTCGTTAGTTTTTGGAAAATGCAAAAGGGACTGTAATATACTTAACGTTAATCTGGTACAACGTTTACGTCCATTCAAAACTGAAATTACTCGATTTCTTAATTATCGGATTGTGTCTTAACCCTTTCTTCTCTTCACCCTCGCTTGAAACGCTTTATTGAGAAATATTTTCATAAGCCTTTACTATGTTTACCTTTATTTAATGGTGCATACCGCGGGCTTAGAATTCTACTCCTGTGAGCTGTGCCAAATTACAAGTTCAGACAAACGAAAACTAATTCAAGATGGGTCTGTTGATTTCCTTTTCTCTTTGTTACCAATTCAGCATGACCCAGCGAATTGTCCACTTATGTTTTGCTGTCTTTCTTAGATGGTAGTCTCGAAGATGAACAACTGGATGGATTCTCCAACGCTGTGACGAATTCAGGCGAAGCTGTTATTGAAGGATCGTGCACAGGAGGATTCTTTCTGTTCTGTCTTTTGATTTACTTCCTCTACAGACTGCTGAGAGATGATCAAAGAGTTCATCCCGCAACTGGACATGATCCTCCGGCACAACACGTTACAAATCAAAACAGAGCTTCCTGTCCACGTTGTGGTAACGCTCCCAGCAGTCCACCTCCCGCTTATAATGAGGTGTTGGCGATGGGAGAAGGCGTTGACTTCTCATTTGCTTGCATGTCAGCGCCACCTGCAAATTCGAACCAACCTACTATCTGACCTAACAAATGACTTTATAATAGATTTAGTCACCGACTGATTGACTGACTGACTGCCTGTCTGCCTGTCTGCCTGCGTGCCTGCCCGCCTGACTGCCTGACTGACATACTGAATGACTGACAGACTGCCTGATTGACAGACTGACAGACAGACTGACAGACTGACAGACTGACAGACTGACAGACTGACAGACTGACAGACTGACAGACTGACAGACTGACTGGCTGACTGACGGACTGACGGACTAACTGACTGACTGACAGACTGGCTGACTGGCTGACTAGCTGACTAGCTGACTGACTGATTGACAGACTGACATACTGCCTGACTGACAGACTGACTGACTGACTGACTGACTGACTGCATGGCTGACTAACTGACTGACTGGCTGACTGATTGATTGACAAACTGACGTCCTGGCTGACTGACCGACTGACTGACTGACTAAATGACAGACTGACTCACTGACTGACTGACTGAATTACACTAACTGACTGACCAGACAAAGCCAAGATGTAACCATTTTGTTTTGAATCATTTGTTTTGAATCTTTTTGATCCAGGGCAATATTTATCATTTTAAAATGTTAGAAGAAAGGATGGTTTGTTCAACTGACAGTCAGAGCTTTTCATGCGCATTATCGTACTAAGGCCCCTTAGAAATGTAACATCAATGACGGTGCACTGATTCAACCTTTCGATGCGTGACGTAATATCCTTAAATAGGGACCTTTAGTAACGCCAGAGAGAAAAAAGTAGTCAGAATTCATAGCAGAAAGCACTGTAACTTGACTTTCCCTTGACTTTGCCTCTTTCGCTTGTATAAAGGAAGAGAGAGGCGTACAAAGTTAAACATATTTGTCGAGCTGATGATTTTTAAAAATCATTTTTCAATCAAAATTTAAACCTCCCAGCAAGTTTTAGAGAAATGGAAACTGTAAAAAAATGGTAGAACTTTCTAAAAAAAATAAATAAATGATAAATCTGAACGCTTATCTCTAGGACTAAAAATAATTTTGTGAATTTAAGATTTAGTACATGGGATAGAGTTTAGAACTTTGTATTAGAATGCCCTCAATTAGGGCTCTAGAATAACTTTATGGGGGAGTATGAAGATCTGCTGTAAAAGATCAGTGGAGAATTTTATTAGTTTCTTTTGTATTTTATTGACTGCTTTCAGTAAATGTACTTTTTTGCCTATTAAAAATGAGTTAATTTGAATCCTTTTTTTATTTCTTTTTTCGTAACGTCTTAAACATTGTTATCAATAGTACTGATGGGAGAGGTTATCGATGGGGTGAGTTTTTAAAAGTATGGAAAGAACTGAACAAAGTAGAGTTCGCAACAAAAAAGGTCCTTTTGGAATCTACATCTTTTTAATATTAAATGCCTCGAACTCGTCAATTAAGTTAATTAACAAATTAGTGAGCCAAAAGATGCCAGATTCGAAATATTCTCATAATAAACCTGGTAACCGTTCACACAAATGTACCCATCGTCCCATAATATATTACTCTGATCCTTGTGGGTTAACTTGAAGCAGATCGCTACACAGCAGACATCATTCGGCTTTATAAACCAAACGACTCCTTGAATGGCTCTCGAAAGTAACTCCGATCACATTGGCGTGGCATACAAACACCACTGACTAGATACGTCCTCGCAATGTATGACTAAGAGGTATTTTCTTTTTTGGGAAAAAGAACTCAAAAAGGTTTAACTGAGTAAAATGAATGAATTATTTCCTGCCAGTAAACCTTTTTACCGAAACAGCGGCCATTTTGAATTCCACATTTTGACGTTATATGTGATCAGTCACTGACCAGACGTGCAGTAACATAGAATCTATTTGCTTAAAAACTGTTTACAGCTATGGTTGAGAAGGGACACCTCTTTTACTGATAGCTGATATCTTAGATGTGCCAAATTAACTGATAGCTGTGAAATTGCGAAAATTCATCTGATAACCGAGACTGAATTTCCGCAAGCCCATTCAATCAGCAACACTTTATTTATACCAGCTGCGCCTAAGAGTTAAGTAAGTTCGATCAAAATACGACAGTGTATGCAACAAGCAAGCCCATTCAGAACCTCTGTCAAATGTAACACACTTCATACACTAATAACACCGGAACGAAACTCAAATATTTCATAACTGATCTAAATAAACACAAACACAACATCAGGAGCGAGCATCTTTTTTTTATTGATAAAGGATACAACGAGCGTTACATCATCATAAAGATAATACAGCGGTAAGAATTATAAAATAAAATCACTGCGGTTGACAGAGATGCAGCGTCATAAGCCGAGCTTTTCAACTAATCAGATTGTTTGATTCTTGAATTCACATCTGGAATATTTACTAAAACGAATTGTAAGTAATGCATGGATTTGTAGCACATCATTAATTAGCGAAATGTTGCAAAAAATAAATAAATGAATAAATGGAGCAAGAATAATTGACAGAAATACTTTCGAGTAGCTCTTGCATAACTCACAAAACCTTACTTAGCCTACTAGCTCCGGATTCATCACAGCTACAACCAGGCTTAAAATACTTCTACATTCAACAAGAAACATAAACTAGTGTACATATTCTTGAATTGTATAATTAGCGAAAGGTTACAAAATATATTTACGCGGTAATTGTCTTCTAGTTTATATTCTACTACATACAAGTCACTTCAGCTAGTGGCCAGCTTGAATGTACTACATATAAGGAGAATTCTAATCACTTCGGATTCACTTCGGAAGCTATTTATTTCCATGCTTAGCGTCGTTCATTTTCTGCATCATGACCAAGGTCGTAGCCAGGAATGTTCTGACTGAGGCAATGTCCACGAAAAAAAAATTGAGTGAGGTAAAGTCTATGATTAAATTCTCTTCCAATGTATTTAGGGTGTTTATGATGAGTATAAACGACAAAAACGGAAAAAATGTAAGACTGAGACAAGTGCCTAAGTTTGCCTGTTACTAACTACGATCCTGGATGTACTTTTCCACACTTGCCAGAGATGTATTTCTTTATTTCCGTCGAGAAGCATCTTATGACCACCAATGCAATTAGAAGTAACAGACAGAGTGGGATGATCGCCCAAAGCAACTTGTTATCAAAGCCGGCTGTTTAAGAGAAATAAGTGTGTTACAAATGCTGTGAATATTGAACTAGTAAATCAAAACAACGAAAACAAAATTTTAAAATCGATTAAGTTTTGCTGAGTTCTTAAATTGTTTCATTATCGTTCAACCCTCCATTTGTCATGAACATCAGGCAACAGTAAATTGATTTCATCGATGAAAAAATTTTAAGTGAGGGGTAAAGGGAGAAAAAACATGAGTTAAGAAAACTTTTACTTTAATGGACAGGGCTCAGGACGGAATTTTATGCGCTTTTTCATTAATTAAGGCAGCTGACGAATTGCAATTAAAGTTATGTTAATTTAGGTAATTTCTTATAGCGTATGAATTCGTATAGGAAAATGTTTTGATTTAGTGCGATCCTCTAAAGTTCAAAAATTTGGTATTTAAAACGTCAATTCCACTAAACCGTGTCGACACATATGGAGGAATAATCAGTGGTTCAACTTCAAATTTACAAGAATTGAACGGATTTGCCTCGGGACCAGAAGAATCAAATTGTCGCGAGTCGCGGGTAAATCGTCGCGGATTCCTCTCGAAGGTCGCGTCTTCAACGTGCAGTACTCATGGCAGTGAAAGTGGCAGGATATATAGGCGCTAAAAACATATTATCCTCGTTTCAAATAGTAAAACAAATTACGTCAGCCAGGCCGGAGAATCTAATTCTTGCTCACGATCACCAAGATTGTTTTCATATATGACGACATAATTGATCATCGCAGTTATATACACACAACTTAACCAGTTGTGAAATAAAAGCCTGAAAAAAATTCAGGCCTGTAAATCACTCTGAGACAGTTCGATCAGAGAAATGATCTGCATTCTTTTCACAGAACGGTGGTTACAGTCACAGTTACGCATGAGCAGAATATTATTGGTAGCGAAACACATTAAGACGGTATAACTCATCGGGAGACCACTATTTGGAGTAAGTTATTTCAGTTGCGGGTCACGTGGTTGCCTCTCGGCCAATCAAATCGAAGAAAAAATGCATAGATTGATAATAGCAATTAGCTGTGTTCAGTGACATGAGTGACGCAAATGAACTCTGTTAATTGATTTTTTTCACTCGTTTAGTTTTCTATTTATTTTCGTTGAAGAATTCATTGTACAACATAAGATCAAGGATTCTGTTTCTTGCCTGGATTTTCAAATCATAGAACCTAAGAAAAATCCACCATACCTTTCCAAGAATTGTGAAAAGATTTTAAAAAACAACGCATTGCATTACCGTGACCAACTAATTCACCGGCTTTGATTAATTTTTGCGCATATTTTAATATATTTCCCCTTACCTTTTTTCTCACAGCAATTTCCAGAATATCCTTCCTTACAAAAACATGAACCATCTTTTAAACTTCCTCCGTTCAAACAGCTGAGGTCTGGGCAAGCTCGTGTTTTACGAAACGTAGACGTGCATGTTCCGCCACATTGCTCGGTCACTATCCTGTGACGAGCGCTGTGCTGTGTTCCTGAGACTCCACAGGGAACGGTGCAGGCACTCCACTCCGACCACGAGCTTAGTTGGCAATCGACTCGTTTACTTGCATAACACTGCCGTGTTTCGTGTAAGTCAGGACATTCTGCACCTCCACAAGCCGAAGAAGATTTTTCCGCTCTCGATTTGCTTTGTGATCCTTGTTGTCCGCACTGGGCTGCGCTGCAGAAACTCCAGGGAGACCAGGAACTGACTTGGCAATCTCGCGGTGTATTGCCATAACATTGCCGTGTTTCGTGTAAGTCAGGACATTGTGCACCTCCACAAGACGCAGAAGATTCTTCTTGTCTTGATCTGCTTTGTAATCCTCGCTGTCCGCACTCCGATGTGCTGCACGAACTCCAGGAAGACCAAGAACTGACTTGACAATCTCGCACTGGACATCTGCGACGGCGACGTCTTCGCCAAGCGTCACTCTGATGAACAAAGATCAGCAAAGCCACTACGATAACTAGAATTAGAATCTTACTCGAAAGCATTTCTGCTAAGGACTCATGAACTGATTGACTGATTATCATACGCAAGTAGGAATCGAAGCGTGTTACGGGAGGGGTTAGCAGAAGACAAATACATCGTATATTTAAGGTTATTATTTCATGCCGCAAAGAGCACTGGGTAGGCTGTCTAGTTTATGAAAGGCAACACAGTTTCTTGATTGAGCTTAATGATATATCCAGATGCTTCTCTTTTCCATTTTTGTGGTTATTGTTGGTCTTTTCGAGACCTCAGCAGCTTTTTACTCCTTCACTGGGGGCCATGATGTTTTCCACCTCCATCCCATGCCGCAAAGTATGCGGACTGGAAGCGACGGCACGGCTCTAAATCGAGACAAGTCTTTTCCACCCTCCCGTCAGTTATGGAACCGCAATAAATTTGGTGCTGTATCTACAAACGAAAGCAGCTCTGAAGAAGGGCACACTAACATCTATGCTTGCTGGGAGGAAAACGCGGAACGCGATTGCCTTGGAACTTGTAAATCGGTGATTCGAGGAGGTAAATCAATTGATATTCCTGAGTACAAAGTATAATTTAGAGTTTAAACAAGTAAAAACTAGCATTAAGAAAGAACAACATTTCGGTGACATCGTGACACCATTTTCAAGTTCAAATGCAAAAAGATAAAATGTCAGAAAATTCGCTCAAGATTAACATACTTCGTAATTACATATGCAATGTCAAGCAAATAGTTTTGCTTGAATTGAATCCGACTGGACATTGAGAGATGGTGCTAATTCTCTAATTAGCAGCATTTCATGCACTAAACAATCGAACTTACTCGTGCACTTCCTGAGAACGGAAAAATGTCTGTACAGATCTTTCGAAACAGTACAGTGTTTGTTAATGAAGTGTTTGCCAATGGAAGAAAACTGTTTAGTGTGTTCAGCCACGCGTTGTTGCAAGTGCCTGAGAGTATATATAACCTACTCAACTTACATCGCACAAGTCACATTGAAATCCATAAATTACACGTTGCTGGTTAACAATAGGCGGTTTAGTCTCATGCACCTTTAACTCCCGCTATATCTTATCATCAACAAAAACTGGTTAAATGACAGTGTGGGTCTTCTTTCAAAGACCAGGATTCGGCAGACTTAGTCAGTAAACAGCTGAAAGACCTGAGCTTAAGTTTTGAGAAAAGTTTAAAACCGGTTTAAAACTTACGCATAGCACAAAGGATTCAAAACGCTGTTTCCGAGACCGCCGACAATATCCGCTGCTCTGTGATTGGTTACAAAATTGTAATTGACATACGCAATGCTGCACTGATATGGTTTCGTAAAGTAGGCATCAAATTTCAAAACGTTATTCTCTTTGCTGTTTGCACAGTTCCAGCAATTATTGCTGTACGTTAATCGACCTTTAAAATTTACTAAATATTAAGCAGCTTAGCGGGAGTGTTGGCAGACAAGTTATGAAGCTCTCATGAAACAGTTTGTCATATATTTAGGTTGCAATTTGGCGCGATACGCTCTCGATAGCGTGGTCTAGAATAAAGGGAGTTTGGTTTAGATCTTCTTCTGCTCCTGTGTCGCTAGTAGAACTTCACGAAATTTCTGTAGGTTCTGTAAAAGACTAACGACGGAAAAGACGGAATTCGAGTATATTATAGATTATTATCTATGGCCCCATTTAACTGATTTGCCGGAAGGCAGTCGGCACTGAAACAAAAAGCAAAATAAGAAGACTTGAGAGCCTTTCGTCACCCACCATCTCAAAGGAATGAAAGGACTTAATTATTAATATGCTTATGCAAAGATGGAGTTTAATCTAAAAGCAATCACTTTTGACAATGCTTTTTACAAAATGGCTCCTTTATATCATACAAGAGTGGTAAATTGCTAAAGGGCATAGTTGTACGAGCGGAGACCTTGAAGATTGATGCGTCTCGACCGCAAAACCACATAGTCTGTGAAGTTCTGTCATGAGTCTTTTCAATTTGCCATCACGCGGAATTCATTATCAAGATATGTAGCAGGGTCTTGCAGTTCTCAACAACACCATAAACGTTGGAAATATATGAATTGGAATCAGATGAATTATTTTCCTCGCACCGTCTTGAGAGTTTTTCTCAACACTCAATGGACTGCATGACCAGCCGGTTTTAACATAACTGTTTTCTGTTTCTACATGTATTTCTGTAAGACCTAATCACCTGTCCAACTCCAGTAGTTCATATTTTTAAACTGGCTATGGGTATTTTTTAATTTTGTTGGAAATGAAAATTGCGTGATGAGTTGAAACCCCCAAATTTAATTCGGCGTTAGTTTGTTATTCAAGCTGAAATGGGGTCACACCGAAAGGTTAAACGACTTCCATGGTGATCAAACAACTAATCTACATTACATGTGCTTGACTGAAGATGATTCTCTGAGGATTTTTTTGTTGTAGATATAAATGTCTTATATGGCACCATCTGAAGCATTCATTATCATAATTTTTAACATTAATCAAACCCTTCATCGAATTTCTCAACTCTTTTGGGAGTTTGATATACGATTTACCCTTTATTGGTTTGTATTCAACGATATTCAAATAATGATTATCGACTGAATCTATTAACCATCCACTACCTTCTGAGCTGAGACTTTTCGTTGTCTTTGGAGAAGGAATTTGAAGGTGCATCCTGTGCAATTCTGCGAAGGATTTCACTCCCTTGGTTCCCTCGAGTGCACGATCATCTCCGTTTCTTTTTGTGACCTCGGCGTAGGACTCATACTCGGGATCTTGTCAAGTTCCTGCGGCGCCATTTGTTTCAAGATATTTTCAAGATATTTTCAAGATGGCGGGACTGGCATCAGCTTCGTAAGACGTTTGTTCATTCAACTTTTTTGGGGCGTATTTTGTCTATGTTTATTCACAGCGACAGAGTTGAGCTCTTATGTTGCTTCGTCTGAAACTACCGGAAACCTGGAAACATCTACCTTCTTGAGATGGCTCTGAATTTGTTGTTGTGTGGTTTTCGTTTGTTTATGTTTTACTGGGCTCGGTATCATACGGATCTTTAGCAGATGTTGAAGACAAATCGCCAAAATATTCGTCAAAATGGACACTGAAAGTTGGGAACTTCCATTAAAGTAGGTCTTCAGCCTAAAGGAGCTCATAATCGTCATTTAGAAACTGTAATTAATTAAATTCGTCAATTTTTTTGGAAAAAAGCTACAATAACAACAAAGTTTTGGCAATAGTAGT